TAATAATTTGGTATATCGAATTTATAGATGAAAAAATACTGAATTACAGAAATAGCACATACCGTACTAAAAAAACGTACCGAAAATGCCAAATTTTAGTATACCGAACTTTTTTTGTATGGTATCGATATTTTTTTTAATATACCAAAAAATTTGGTGTGGTATACAATATGGTTCGGTATTTTTTTAATACAGTATCGAATCATTTCTAATTGAATTACATGTATGGTATCAAAATATAATATTTTACGCTTAAATATAAAAATTTAAAATAATTTTACAATTTTAAGAATATATTAGAAAATTAATTATTTTAGTATCAATATACTAAATTATTGATGTAGACGGATTTATTGAATACTAAAATATCAAACTGTATTGATATTTTCTCTATATATTATACCAACAATGCTAAAAATATATACAATTGTCGAATTGAAAATGTTCGATACGGTATCATACTATATAAAAACTTACGATATACAATAATTTTGACACTTTGGTATTTTTTTCATACGGTACATGCATTATTTGAAAAAAATTGATATTTTTCACTCTTAATAATAGTGATAAATGCATTTTTTTAATGAAATATAAAAATCAAATTTAAATCAAATCTCATTATTAACTAATTTTCAATCGTAAAATATCAAATCAAATATTTTTTATATTATATTAAAAATTTTAGACATCACATAAACACTTATTTATATCATATTGAATATTTATTAATTTTTATTATTCAAAATTCTAGTTATATTAAATTTACAATAAAAATTATTAGTAATTGAATAAAATATAGTTAAATTTGTAATTGTAATTAGTATTTACTAATTATTACTATATTAGAAAATGTGACTAATTTCGCAGGATGGCCAAAAGAGGAAAGGTGGACTAATTTCACGGGACCGATGGAGTAATATAGGCGAGAAAAATGAAGTTCTTCTAAAACAAAATAGCATTCAATAAGTGAAAAAAAAAAGAAATATGTAAATGTGTAATATGTATATATATTATGTAATAGAGACAGAGTTCCTCTAGGAGAATAATCTAATTACATATTTATATTACTGTATGACATTTATATTACCTCACGTGGATAAAATAATATCATTCGTTTGTTTATTTGTTCGTTTCAGATTAATCGTGTAAGTTCCGTGTAATTACAAGTCTAAAAATGGGTTATACATTTTTTTTGTTTAGTTTTTAGGACTTTTGGGGTCCTAAACGACCTTATATCGACACAATAATATCGGTGGTTGGTTTGTTTGGTCATTTTGGATTAACTGTGCAAATTTTCTCAAATTTCAATTCTAAAAATGGATTTATGTTTTTTTTTTTATTGTTTAGGCATTTTAGAACGATAAATGAGAAATTATCACTTTTGTCTTTTACTTGTCATTCTGCCAAAATATATCTTATATGTATCAACTTTTAGCAATTTTCTTCGTCCAAAGCACAATTCTACTCCGCGCGCATGAGATTGTATCTTACTGCATCTCAAGTAGTCGTAGCAGCACTTTCTCGAGCTATGTATCATTTTAATCTAAAAGAAAGTTTGCAGCAGGTGTAGACCGGTCCAATTGGGCAATGCTACCTTGGTCTTTGGGCTGCATAATGACGGGCAATTGTGAGTTCCTTCTGTTGGGCCGCGAACCCCCATCCTGAACTATGCGTCAGCCCTATTAATTATTTGGATGTGTACAAGACAATTTAATTCCATGTATATTTTTAGTAGTATTATGTAAATATATTTGATGAAATATTGTATTAATGTTACTATATGTATTTAAAAATATTAATTTTGTTTACTGATATATATGTTGTATTAATCTTTTTTATTGTTAATATTTATAATATTGAATTCTGCAATTTAAATTTTACATCAAAATTTGTATTTCTATGCACATGGAAAATAAAAATATTTTATTTTAATTGTTTAAATATTAATTATTAATGACAAAAAATTTTCAAATAAATCGTGGCAATTTGTGGAAAATTTTTGTAAAAAATTATTATTTAGATGTGGTAAAATATATATCAAACTTATTGTGGTGGCAAATAGTGTGTCAAATAAGTTTGTGGTAAATTATATTGCAAATTTTCATGGCAATTTATATAGCAAAATTAGACTTGCTTATAGCCACTTATATTTTCATGGTTAAATTTATAACAAATTCGTTAGCTACATATATTTCTTAAAATTTCCATAGTTTATTTCATAGAAATATGAATGTTTTGTTGTAGTGAGGGTTTTATAACTAAAATATCATATTTTACTCAATATAAAAATTTGAAGTCCGACGAGCTAATTATAGAAATTAGTTTTTGAATAAGTAAACAGCTCTTATGAATAAGCATATAGTTCATCTAATTTGAGTAAATAATAGGCAGGTGTACGTTGGAAAGAGATTTAGGTAAGATTACAAAAGCAGAGAGTGTTAATAATAGCTAACCAGTTGATGAACTTATTGTTCATCCTATTTTTTGTATGTTAATTGCGCCTATTGATCATAATTTTTGCATAATTCCTATTGATATTTGGTCGAATTTGATTTTGTTTTAGGAAGGAAAGAAATTGAAGATATTTGCAAAAAATTCAGATTATTGCTTTTATTTAAGTATGCTCATGCCTAGAAAGAGTTTGGATAAGTCAAGACTTGAACGATAAAACTGGAATTTTGCATTAAGGGTAATTTTGAATATAGCAAATAAATAAATAAATATATTAAAACCCTATGACATAAAAAATGGCCATCTTATTCAAGTAAAATCCTTTTGTTTAGTGGCTAGGTTTCTTATTCTAGTCTAAGGTTGGATTGAATTATTGGATTTGTGAGATAGTTTTGGTTTTAATCGAATCTTTTAATTTATTGGTATTTGTGTGATTTTTGTGTACCGTGTTTACAATTATTAGATGTGATTTATTATTATGGTCAAGTTTTAAGTCTGTCTGTTGATTATGTGCTAATTGAGTAATTGCATCCGTAATTGTATATTTATTCAATAAAGTAGTAAATAGGTTAACACGCTTAGCTTAGGAATTGCATGATCGAATAGAAAATCTTTCGTAATTGATTAAATATTCGAATTGAATTTTTTCTCGTGCTATTTTCAATTGGAGAGTTTTTACTACAGTCGTACCTAGTTTAATTCTTTCAATTAGAGAGTAGTCAATTGATCGTACCGTTGCCACCGACAAAGTTAGAAAAAATTGAGTGTTCGATCATATCAAGCACTTATAACTAATTTATCAAATGATTGATTAGATTATTTAAATCAATGATCAGATCCATTATCTAATTTTTCATCCAATCATTGGACTAGAGATTTTTATTTCTTGATAACTCTGTTTCAGTTCTTTTCTTGATTGCTTGACTTTATTTGGTTTATGTAAACTTTCTTAGGATAGCTATTTTAATTGTTGATTGAAACTTCCCTCATTTTAAATAAATAATCAACTAAAGAAACACAATTGCAGTATCCGTGAATCGACCTGTTTTTATTATTCTACAATTGATTAAGAAACAAGTAATTATTTGACTGAGAGTTCACGCATATCAATGTAACTCGACAACCCGGCTCGCCAATTGCATGGTTCGTCGAGTTCGAATGTATTATTGCATTACCTCCACGTGACACGTATTTTATAAATGATGAAAATTAGACTTCATTTTTAAGTATGACATGACATATTTTATGTTAGTTCTTAAAATAGATTTAATTCTAAACTGCTTTTAAAAATAATATTTGGTGTAGGTATGTATAACACCTCCGGGATAAGGGATGTCTCAGGACATAGAAAAAACGGGTTCAATGAGTAAACTTGTTCGTATGTATCATATGTAAATTTTTAACCAGAAAAACCTCTTGTCAGAAGCGTATTTTTATAAATGTTCATAAATTTTCTTGTGTGAAATAATAAAATGTTTATATAATTAATTTTAGCATTAACGGTGTATTGTGGGGCCCGAAGTATAAGATGACGACCTCATGATGCAGTGTAGCGGTAGCATTTCTAGTATGAGCCAACTGGGAGTATTACAAACTGAACCATGTATATGTACTCGATCTTTTGACGCGGTTAAATATAAGAAATGGAACATTGGGGTTTTAGTGTAGACACACAATTAGAAAGGAGGTTAGAATCAGGAATTCAGGTCTACATATCAAGAATTACACAGTCCATCAAGAATTTGATATTAAAGTGATTTTCTAGTTGTTTGTGAGAGAGAACTTGATATTGGATTGAACATGATTGGATACTCAATTCAGAACCTCCAGATTGAAGACAAATAAATCGATCGAAGGTAAAGACTATGATACTAAGACATTGAGGAGTGATCTTGCGAAGAACGAATCCAAACAGCCGTTCTAACACAGGTTATTGTGTGGTGTATTTGAGTCTTTAATCTAGTTATCATAGTTAGATTTGGAGTGAATTTGGAAAGAAAAATTCAACCGATAGATAAGAGTATTTAGTTAGTGAATTTTGTATTTGAACTAAGTCAATAAATTGTTGTATGCTTTACTTTTATGTGTTGGACATACTTTAAACGAGAGTTACAACAGCGTATAATAATTTATACAGCACATGTGTATATACATTCAAAATTTCTTTATTCTATGACATCGATTTATGCTAATCGTATATAAATTTATATATATTCATTTGTATCAATATAATTTTATTGTCTATAAAATAACATCTTAAATATATTCTAGCAAATTTTAAATTTATTATTAATTAAATATATATTACATCATAACTCGAACATTCACCAAACAACATCTGCTAAAACTAAACTTCCAACACAATCCAAAACGATGACCAAACTGACCCTAATCTTGGAAGAAACTCAAATTTGAATGTGTTTCACTTCCATTAGATAAAATCTACTCTAAAATCCAAATCCACTCTCAATTCCAAATTATTCAAAATAAGCTAAAATGAAAACAATAAACTTCCATCAATAATTATAATGAATAATAAGGATTTGTTGGCATAGATTTGATCTATTTCAGATTTCACCCCAAATTGATCCCTATTGATAAGTAGTTTTTCTTATTGTCAACACTTCTTATGTACTTTACTACCAATAAAAGGCTACCAGCATCGAATCAGACAACATTGTAACATATAGAAACAAGATAAAGAACAGAAGAAATGAATATATGAAAATTGAGCATACAAAAAACATACCTCAAACAAACTCTTGTGTGGAAAGGATGAGCAATGCCTCACTCGGGTCTGCGCATTTTGACTTTTAGCGAAATCTCCTTGTAAGACCGAACCTTTACAGATGCTTGGCGTGTTGGCCTGCAGCTAGATGATCTTCCTGACGTTTGGGAGTCGCACATTTCATCAGAAGCCCCATTGTTGCCATCATTTTTCATCGATGCATTTTCTGAAGAAAATTTTTTTACTGAAGGAAAATTTCCAGGCAATGGTTTGAAGTGGTCTGTCTCAGATGACTTCTCAGGAGGTCCGAGTTCTGCATCATTAAACTTAATAGATTGTCTCCTTGTAGAACACCTGCTGTTATAGAAGGGAATGATGGCAAACTAACTAAATTAAATATGAATGGAGATTGAGGGTATTGGATAAATTCTCGAAAACCTTTTGCTTCCAATCCTGTGTTCAGATTGAAGTTTGATTGAAGTGCCTGAAACCAAAGCTGATCCAATGGAAAAAAACAAAACTTGAGCGAAAAAATGATGAGAAATTTCAGAATATTCCAAATCTATTTACTCACTGCTCGGTTGCGAACTTAGCTTGCCTCTACAATGCTTTGCATCATGTCTGTTTTTGTTTGAAGACTTGTCTTCCTCCCGAAACTTGATTAACATCTTATACAAGGATTTTTAAAAAATAAAATAATGATCCTTATATAAGCAAATGCATCACATTATTAATAACCAACACAAAACAGCTATGGATCATTAAGGGAAGTGCATTTCTACCTCGGCATCAGTATTTTTGCATTGTTTATCCTTTTCTTTTTCCTGGTTAACAAATAGGCACAAGTTAGATATACAGTAGAAAAACTAACTATGCATAGCAGATCGATAAAGTTAATAGTATTAAGAGAACCTCAAGTTGCAAAGTTCTTGCTTTAAACGAACCATTTATGCATTGGAGCTCATGTTGCAAAACTTTCAACTAGAGGAGACACCGGAAGGTTAGTTATTTCCGGATAATTATGGTTGGAGTGAAGTCAAGATACATATAGAAAGAAAAATCTCATTCGAGTTGCATATCCCCTACATGCTTACCTGTTCTTTACCAGTGTTTAACTCCTGAAAGTCAACGAACCAATGAATGTCAATAACAAATGAAATCACTTCCTTTCGAGGAAATCAACATTTTAAGAGCGTAAGCAAAAGTAAACACACCGAAACCAATTGTGAGTTTGTGAGAGCCAACTGTTGATTCTGATCCTGCATTTTGACTATATTTACTCTCAACCTATCTAACTCGGCTCCGCCCAGTTCAATGATTTTGCTATCACACAATAAAGTAGAGGAATCAACAATAGAAACATCCAAACAAGAAGTAGCAATTTGATTTACAGTAGAATTATTTGCAACACAATGAAGTTCGAGGAGGATACTTTCTCTGCGCCAAAATCTTCACCATTTCCATGTTTTCCTGAAACCGAAAACTGATCACAAGGGCATATCAATCCCAACAAAGATTATAAAGCCTCTGCACAAAAGCTTACCTTCTTAAGCTGATCAATATACTCCTTCGTAGTACTATCAACAAATTCTAACTTGTTCTCTTGAGTTACTAATCTCTGCTTTTGGGGAAGATTGCTAATATCTGCCAATTTCTTTCTCCCAACAGCCCGGTGGATCTCCCCAAATCCTTTATCCCCAATAATTTGTACTAAACATAAGGAAGTAAATTAACACTATATGTTATCTGCTAAAGAAGCAAACAGAAAAAAGAAATGGCAAATCGAAAGATTAATTCATCCATATGTAAATATACAAACTCAAACTACATGAAATCATCGCACAGCAATCGTGGTTCAATTATCGAGTATTATTGAAATTGAAATTAAACCCTAAATTAGTGATGATTTTTGAATGCACATAACACCTCATCGTCAGGATGCATACCAATCATTGAAAGTTAAAGAGAAAATGCCCTCGGAAGAGCAGAACCAACACAGCGCCTTCATAGGCAGTGGACCAACAAAAAACACTAAACTTTTGAACGATTTCGTTAACTGGAGAGGCGCTCGAGAATCAAACCAAATTGAAGAGTTACCTCCTGCGGCTGTGATTGCGGCATTCTGCGTGTCGACGATCCGAAAGCCGTCCTTCTTCGACATTAGTGCTCCCGCCACCGCTATTGCTCTGCCATTTTTAAAAAATTAAATAGTAAAAATCGGAGGGGTGTTCTTTTACCAAAACAAAAAATAAATAAATAAATATATTTTTCTAAAAATATTAATATATCGTATGCATTCAGTATTTTTTTCATTTTTTACAATAATTTTTTATATTTTACATTAAAAAAATCATTTAAAGTATCTTATAAAATAAATACACTCAAAATCTCACTGTATTTTACAATTTTTTTAATTAAATAATTATTTAAAATTAAATAATTTAAAATAAAATATTAATTATTGTCAACAGTAAAAGTTTACTCTTTTCATTTCTTTATTTGTTCATAACAAATAACTTTTTTCTTTATAATAAAAAATATTACATGTGTTTATTTGAGAGATTTTAGTTGTGTTTAGACAGACCTATTTTTATCCATTGGCCCTGTGCACTATTCTGGCTTGGGCTTTTCAGTCCACTTGTGAGAATAAAATCAAATTTTAATATTTCGTATACAACTCACTCTTGAAATAAATTTAACTTTCTCGTAATGAACAGAAGTTGCATGGAGTTTGTTTAATCCTATTTTTTTTCTTCAAAAATATCAAATCAAACACCTATTTTTTATTTTTTATATTATACTAAAAATTAATTTTACATTCAAAACATCAAGTTAACACCTATTTATATCACATCATACAACTATTCAAATTCAAATTTTTTACTATTCAAATCCCAACTCAAAATCCAAACCCCCAAACAAACACACCCTAAATAAATTTGTTCCTCTTTAAAATCTCACCAATTGCATTCTTCATTCAAATTACTCCCAACAACGCTAGCAGCTTATCTCCTGCCACTCGGTGCCAAGGCTCTTCACAGGATGCGGATATCAGTGCCGGATAGTACCACCTGAGATCAGGAAAAAACGATAAGCACTTATAACAGTTTTTTATATTTTTCGTTATTCTTCACATCTCCAAAGCTAACGCGCTTCTTACCTATTTTGAACTTGACTCAGATCTGAGGATTCGGGCATTTTCTCGTATTTTAGTGTGGGTACTAAAATTTGATGGTTAAACAGACATTTTGTCTAAAAAATTTTATTTCGCTATAATTAAATTTGATTTTTTAAATAATAAATGTTATCTTATAGTACAACATAAAATTTTATATAAACAAAATAATATATTTATATAACTAATATAAATTAATTTTATAAAAAAAATTGAATGTATAAAAAATATATTTTTTGTCTGTTAAATTATTTTTATTTTTTTTGTTTGTCAACTAAATTTATTTTATCACTCTCTCCGTCCCAAAAGATTTGTCTTGTTTTTCCATTTTTGTCCGTCCCAAAACAATTGTCTTGTTTCCTTATTTAGTAGTCGTGGTCCCCACTTTATAACAAAATTATTTCTACTTTTTCATACTACCCCTAATTATTACTCTAACATACTCTTTAGAATCCTTCAAAACTATAATTTGGGTTGTGTTTAGCACGGAATTTAAGGAATATTGATAGTGGGTAAAAAATATTGTAAAAGATTTTTTTGCCCTTGTGATTGTATTAGTGTAAAAAATAGTGGCAATTGTATAATAATAATAAAAAAATAAGGATAATTTTATAGTGATATGATTATTTATAAAAATGAGACTATTGTTTTGGGACGGACAAAAATGATAAATAGGACTATTATATTGGGAATGGAGTATTTTTTTTGCTCGAGTCAAAGGTATTCAATTGACTTTTATACATGAATTTAAGTATATTAATATTTTATAAATGTAGAGTATAAAAAAGGAGTGTAAAATTTATTACCCTTCATGATTTTAACAGGGACATATGAAAAAGTAGGATATTTGGTATTTAGTTGAGAGATGCTTTTGGCAAATAAAAAAATATGGATACTTTTTAGGAAAAATTACAAAAAATATTTCATATGTATACCGCATTATTATTTTTGTCATGACAAAATATATCTCACATGTTTGCAAAGTCGTTATTTCTATCATTTGGCCGCGCGCGATTGTGCGTAAAGGCGCGTGGTGTGAATGTCATGCGCGGGCAAATGACACAAATAACGACTTTTGTAAACATGTGAGATATATTTTTTCAAATAGATAAATACAGGACAAAAGTGATAATAGAGTATAAGTGAAATATTTTTTGCAATTTTTTCCTTTTTTTTTTTTTGATATACTAGCGGAATACCCGTGCTACGCACAGTAAAATCAACAAAAAAAATTATAATCATATTTTTTTAATAATAATTTCTTTATATATTATATATATATTTTTAATCAATATAAAAAAATAAAATAATATTAATGAATTATACGATCTCCGTCCAATTATAAAGAAAATACTTAATTTTGTAGCATTTTACTTTTATTTCTTAATTGAATATAAGATTATAATATAATAGATTATTTATAATAATTTTGAATGCAAAATAAATTACATTTTAAAAATTTAATATAATATTTTTTATATCTTCTTTACAATCATAATTACAAATAAAAATTATTTATCAATATATACCTTGTAATTCTAGAATAAATTTAAAATCTAAATCTATTGCTTTTTTTTACACATAATTATTTTAAAATTTAGTAAAATATATGCATTTATCTTTGCATAGTACTATGCATTTATTTTAAAATATATTTTATCATTTTTAAATATAATATATTAAAAATTAATTAATAAAAAATATATCCAGAATCTACACAGCTATAGATCTTTCCATTAAATATCATACAATAAATTAAAAAATAAAAATATATAATTCAACCATACTCTATAAAACAAATTTCTCATTCTACTGCTTAAAAAATAAAGAAAAAACAAACAAATCTTCACTATACCCATAACTAAAATAATTTAATGTTAAAATAACAATTTAATTTATTATGAACAAAATCAATTAAAAAATATATAAAAGTTATACATATATTTGGATGTGTTTAGAACTTGATTGATTATGAAACATATAACAATTTCTGTTTTTTTTTTTTTACAACTTAAACGAATAAAATCAATTCCCCAATAACTTAATTACAATATTGTAATTCTCCATGATGAAAAAAATAATAAAAAAATAACATATAACTTAATATAAATTATGATTAATTGCTAATAAGAATTTAAATTACACTTAAATGTACAATAAAATAATTTATATATACTACAAATTAAAAAACCACTAAACCTATAGCTAAACACTTGCATTTATTTTATTTTTTTCTTCTTCTTCTCTGTTCAAGTTTCTTATTTTTTCTAATTTTCTTTTTCTTTAATATTTCTCTCTTTCTGTACTCTGAATACTACAACTGAAAGAAAAAATAAATAATTTAGAAAATAACAAAAAGAAACTATAATCAATACAAAAAGTATCAGAACAATTGTAAAAAATTGAGAGAATATGAAAAGAAAATAAGAAAATTGTGAAAAATATTATAACAATGACATTTGAAAAATCACATATATTTCATATTTGCATCTTCATTTGTACAAAAAAATAATATTTATATATTCACTTTTACCAAAAATAAAGTATCAGTATTTTGAAAAAAAAAATTAGAACATTAATAAAAAAAAATACATACACATAATATTCTTATTATTTGGCATTTTTATGCATTTTGCATCTTTATTTGTAAAAAAAACAAAAAGAAAAAGTAAAAAAATATCAGTATTGTAAAAAATTATTATAAAATTAACACAAAAAATAATGCATGAACACATAATATTCTTATTATTTGATATTTGTTTGTTTCTTCCATTGTCATCTGCATTATGCATATCATCTGTTGCATTTTTTATTTCAGTCATTTTTCTTTTTCTTCATTCTGTATGCCTAAAAATTGTGAAAAGAAAAACATTATAGAATTACCAAATATAGTATCAATATTTTAACAAAAATATGAGAATATTAACACTAACAAAATAATACACATAAATAATAAAATAAATACGTAAATATATGTATACAAATAAAAAATAATTCAAAAATAATTAATTAATATATATAATATTTCTAACTAATACAAAATATTTGAATATTATAGAAAATTATCCAAATAGTTAAGTATCTAAAATCAAAAATAAAATTTAATCTAATAATTTTTTTATATTTATATATAACTAACAACATTTATCCAAATATTATAAAATAATTATAAATACAAAATCAAAATAAATATAAAAATTAAAAGAAAAAACTTATGAAATTGAATGATTGGAACATCTTTCTGTGTCCAAATTGCATTCTCTCCCAAAATATCAAAATGAATACAAAATTATTAAATAACATAAATAGATAGAACAAATCAAAAAGAAAAAAATAAAAATAGAAGGAAAGATAAATGAGAGTAGATGATTGTTTGATTAACATATCTCAACAAATAGATAGAATAAATAAATAAGAAAAAAAAAATAGAATGAAAGATAAATTACAATGCAATCGATTGTTCGATTAACATATCTCAACATTTTTTCTAACTGTATCACCCTCTATCACTTTTATCAAATAACTGTAATTATGAAAAATTGTAAAAAAATCAAAACATAAAAAAAAAAAAACGAAAAAAATTTCAAAATTATGAGACTGCATAATTGCACAAATTTACAAAAAGTGATACTCAGGCTTTAACTCTTTTATATATATATATATATATATATATATATGAGAATGATTATACATATAAAAAACTATTGAGACGAAAGGGAATATTTAATCTTTTCTTTTTATAACCTTATAAGTTGTAAGAAGAACAAAAATGATTAACTAAGACATAAAAAATCAAAACGGTGGTTGTGCAGTTAATCTCTTACAAGACTTTTTCATGCATCTTGAAAGGGACATAAAGGGTATGTTATAAATAAATATGGTAAATTGTTTTTTTAATCCCATAACCGGACCTCTTGTCATTTTAGTTCGGTAAGTGGAGCTTGTCGCAAAAAGTAAAAAATTTTCGTTGTTTTAGTTCTCTGGTCCCATAAGTGAAAATTTTTGTTGTTTTAGTTCTCCGGTCGCATAAGTGAAAAATTTTCGTTGTTTTAGTTCTCCGGCGCCGGAGACGCCTGCGTGGCTCCCCGGAGGCCACATGTCCGCCAGGTCAGCAACACTTAACGGACACGTGGATTCTTTTTTTTATTATTATTTTTCATTTTTTAAAAAATTTTTAAAATTTTTTTAAATTTTTTTTATTTGGTCAATTGAAAAAAAATTTTAAAAAAATTAAAAAATAAAATAAAATAAAATTCACGTGTCCGCAAGGTGTAGCTGACCCGGCGGGACACCTGACAGACATGTGGCTTCCGGCGAGTCACGCGGGCATTTTCGACGCCGGAGGACTAAAACAACGAAAATTTTTCACTTATTACACTAGTTTGCGACAAGCTCCACTTACAGGACTAAAATGATAAAGGTCTAGTGATGGGATTAAAAAAACAGTTTACCCAACAAATATTAAATTTAATAATTTTTTAATGAAATATAAAAAATAAATATTATATTTAATAATTTTAAATAAAAAAATTTAATAAATAAAAAAATTCGGATTCAAAATCCACCGTTTTGAATGTGAATTTGGGATGGACTTTTACAATTCTTCACTTTATCGTTATAAAAAACTTAAAATCAAATTTAAGTTTTTCTTTTTATATTAGATTAAAACTAATTTCATTTAAAAATTTAAAAATCAATTCTAATTAAAAAAATTTCTGTTGTCAATTTCATATTCAACTTTCAATCATGCAAGCTTTGGGCACCATTATTGGTTTCTATGCCTATATTTTTTTTAGAAAAAATAAATAAACATGAAAATTACATGTATAATTATTTGCTA